TATATATATATATTTATATTATATATATATATATTTATACACATATATATGTATGTGTGTGTATGTGTGTGCATGTGTGTGTGTATGTATATGCATTTAATTCTTTGTAAGTGAAACTAGTGAAAATACAAAAAAGAGAAAAAAGTTACTCTAAGAGGAACAACACTGCTGAGAAAAGTTCAGAACTATAGAAAATGTGATCCTCGTACTTAAACCTTTTAAATAATCTTCGATTGCTTATAAAATCGGAATCCGAGGCTCATAAAACTGGAGGAAGTATAAAGCTGCAAATGTAAAAAGGTGTTTGATCCTTTTTCATCTAAACTTGTGTTCCTGTTTTTGAGCGCAGAACCAGAAAGCCACGAAGAAGAAAGCATGTCAGATTTCCCATCTAAATCTGTATTCCTGTTTTGAACGAGAAATCGGAAATCCAGAGAGACGAATTCTTGAAGATGAACAGAGTAAGGCAAAAGACGAACGCCATTTGCGATTTCTTCCTGACAAAACCTCTCGATTTCGCGAATTGGATTCTGGATGATATTGCCAGATGATAAGATGCTGAGTTATTTACCAAAGAGCTTTCTATCTTTCATTCCTTATATGTCTTTTTATATCTATTGCTCCAGATCTCAGGTTTTTCTTCTCACATTTCTTCAAAACCACTCTAATCCTGTGCTCATCTAGATTGTACATCTGTCTAGAATCAGATAGCGCTTTGTGACGTCATAAATCGTTCTTGAAGCTGAATAAGCACAGCGCTGAAGTAAAGAACAATGAACAAAAGCACAAAATCAAAACAAAAACGAATAGAAAAAAAGGCCTGTAGCATGTCCGTGTGTTTTCTTGTTCTTCCCTTCGTTGTTTTGTTTACAATTTGTTCGACATGAATCCTGCATTGGAGCGGCGTCCATCGTGATCCCTTGAAACGCAGTGACTTGATAACTGAACCTGAAACTTTAATGAAATCTGTGTTTATGTGTCTTTGAATACTGGACGAATCAATACATAAGAAAAGATATATGTACATACAAACAGATAAAG